CAAGAGAGAGAGATTCCTTGTGAGTTCTCAGAAGCAAAGTTATAAACAGAATGTAATTAAACATGATGCTGACTCTTAGTGATCTAATGAGTGCAAACCACAGCTGCGCTCCACTGACTTTTCCTCACTGTGACCATTGGAAGCAGTGTCAGGGACTCTATAGGTGAAGTTAGACTCAGAGTAACATAGAGCAGGACCGCCCCACAGGGTTTTCTAGGCTGGATCTTTGTGGGAACAGATGACAACGTCTTTCTCCCAGGGAGCAGCTAGTGAGGTGAAACTGCTGACCTCTCAGGTAGCAGCCTGAACCCTTAGCAGCTGCATGCACAGGGCTCCTGTAGCCACCCTTACACTGCTGAACAGAACCCTGTGGATATGAAGCAATACTCAGAATTAGATGTACTGGGATCAATTTCCGACTCTATTGTGTGTAGCTGAATGACCTCAGACAAGTTAGATAACTACTGTGCATCATAGTTTGCACATTTCTAATAACTGTCCTAATCATCGTAATTGTCATTTCCTTATGATTGGGGCTGAGTGTGTTAGTATATGAAAAGCATTTTAAAGTGCACTAAAGTTAACATTGTATTCTCTCATAATATGTGTGGGTGTGCTGACACTTACACCTCTGGACCCAATCTGTTTTAGGAATCTAGTTGTCTGTTATGTTAATGAACCTAAATCTGCAAGCCTTTTCCTAAGCCTGTCACTGCTCAGTGTTGTAAAGTCCAGCACAGACAGAGATGTGCAAACACACATGTGGGCAAATGATCCCATGTGATGATAGCCAAGGAATCAAGGAACAAAAGCTGAAGCGAAACAAATACTACCCCCTGGAGTTGACAGAGTGATAACCTCACTCTAGATTCAGTGCCTGGAATTCAGAGTCTAGTCTCTAGTATGAGGAATAAAAATCTATTTTTAAAAACCATTGCTTTGTGGTATTTGTTACCACTGCGCTAAGTAACTAAGGCAATGCCTATACACTACAGCACATGGTTAGATATAGCAATTTTCAATGGAAGATGAAATAAAAAACTTAATGAAGGGATTGTGGAATTAATTATTTGATTACCATGTTTATGCTTCAGCCTATTCCAGATAGCTAGTTTGCATGTCTGAGAGGATCTGAGCTACATAATTTCTAGAAGGCACTTTGGGTTGGCCTAGAAGCAACAGCAGTCTCTGGCAGATTTGTTCCTGTCCCAGTTTTTGACCATTTAGAAGCAATGGGCAGTACCTATGTCCCTCTGCTCTTCCACTTAAGTGGCAGGAGAACCAAACTGAGGAAGGAAAGGTCCACTCCCCCAGCACCCTTACCTGTGGCGTCCTGTAGAGCTCCAGCAGTGCCCCAGCTTGCTCCAAGAACTCAGAGGGGATTCCTGCAATGACTGCCATGTTCTTGGGATGTGTCTGGCAGGTGTAGTTAGGGATGGGGGGCTCCATTTCTGACAGCCATCCGAGGACACTCTCCAGAGTTCTGAAAACACTAGGAATGACATTGTAGAGCTGGAAACCCAGGGATGTGTTGGGGAGTACGAGGGGACTCCTGTTAATTTCTTCAATGGCAAAAAGAAATATCAGAACATAAGCATAATTTTGCAAGTTCAACCTGGAAAAGGTAAAAAATAAATGCACTTTAGAAATAAAAAGGATACACTTCAACTCCTATACAGGCTTCTATTTATTATGCTTCACAGATATTCGGTGTTTTTTTCAAAATTGAAGCTTTGTGGCAAGTCTGCCTTGACCAGGTCCAACAACAAGATTTTCCAAGTGTGTGCTCCCTTCGTGTCTCTGTGCTACATTGTGTTAAGTCTCACTACAATCTAACCTTTTCCCGCTGACATCACATTCTTAGCAGGCTACAATCTAGCGTCAACACAAATTGGTTATACCTTGGACATACAAAGAAAAATCAATCTTGTGACTCGCTGTATTGAGGTGTTTTGAGTAAGAATCTGAAATATTTACAAGGCATGATTGTCCCAAACCAAGAGGAGCTATTGAAAGGTTTTGACTGAGATGTTAGTGCACAGAAAATATTCTAGCTTTTTTGACTGAGATGTTAGTGCACAGAAAATATTCTAGCTTTTATAGCTCTAGTGTTTATAGCTTTGGGAACTCAGCTGATGTGCATGCTGTTCCTAAAGCATCAGCAGGTTCAGACCTAAAATCCCAGACTTGGAAAAGAGAGAAAGATTTCCTAAATTGAGTTAATATTTAAAATACATGAGTTAATTGGGGAGAAGGGATTACAAAGGAAGTGTTTCACCTGTATTTATGTTTATATGTCAAACGCTGATATTTGGAGTTGACCCAACCAACAGTGCATTAGGAATATGGGAAGTAAAGAACTCGATAAAGCAAATGTTTGTGATCCATACAATGCACCCAGGCAGGCCTGGGAGACAAACAGAGAAATCTTGGAGGAAAAACAGCTTCGGGACACAAAGGAATCATCAGAATTGCTTTGGTGAAGATGTCCACAGTCAGACAGCATTTGAACAAGCTCTACGTGAACAATGCTTTGACTCTGATGATATTCTTCCCCTCCAGATTGTTTCCCCATTCTTGACTGAAACTCAGTGCCCCCTAAGCTTCTCCACCAACCTTCCGAGTTGCCAGTATCAATCTGATTTCACGTACATACTTCTTTACAAGAGCACATTGCTCAAGAGAGACTTTCTTTAATTATAAATATTAACCATTTCTTTTTCTTTTATTGCATTTAATGACGATTCAGAGGACAGTATAGGTTTAAGATTTAAAGGTAAAGATTATCTCAAGACAATAAGTTGAGGGGTTCACCCCATGGCCCCAGAGAGTATCCTCAGAATTTTTGAAAAATACACTTGTGATACAGTGTGCTTCATAATCTTATGGGACAGATCACCAGAAACTGAGAAATTTCACCCGAAGACATAACATAGGCTTTGGTAGTGGTAATTACACAATGAACAAGAAAGCATTTCACCAAAGCACAGATTCTGCTCATACATTTAACTGACATCTGTTTTATTCCAATCCGACACAATCCTCCTACAGATTCAAAGTCTCCTCAAGTTTACAAACCCTGACAGGACACATTGCCCAGTAAGCGGAAAACACAGGCTTCCTTGTTTCCTTCCTAATCTATAGTGCACATTTACTCATGCTGTTTCATATGCGGGCAAATATGCATGAAATTGTTCACTGCAGATTACTAGTAAGCATAAGGGAGTTAGGTTTGCCTTGCTTGTCTGGGAATCTGTCCCTGGCCGGGTGGAGAAAGCAGCCTGAAAGACAGAGAGAAACCTGCCAACCAGTGCTCTTCGTCCCTTGTCCTTTGACTCTGACAGCTCTAGAAAGGATAAGAAGCCCTTGCTGATGAGACAGGCACAGTGATCACTCTGAGAGGGCCCCTTGATGGCTGCCCTCAAATTTGAAACCTGTATTTTAATGACTTTCCTTTAGCACTAAACTCCAGCCCAGATTTTAATATGTTTAAATCCAGAGAGTCTAACCCGTCCCACATGCCAAGTCAGGAATAAGACAGGGTCTATGGGTCACGGGTATGGGAGGTTAAATCCCTGAGTGACACAGATGGTTCGTGTTTGGTGGCTAAGCAGAGTGTGAGGTTCAAATCACCCAAGCAGTGCCATGGCAGGAATGCTCAGTGATGTGCTTCTGTGGAAAATGCAACCAAGGAAACCCCGAGGAGTAGGTTCTACTCTGTAACACACGGGCTTCCAGAAGTCAGAATTGTTTCACCAACAACAAGTTTGGGTTTGTACAGGGGATCATGTTTTCTACTCTGAAGGAAAATACACCAAAAGGAAAAGGGAAAAAAGATTCCAAATGGTGACTAGAGTGAAAAGAGACATCAGGCTTGGGGAAGTGGGGCATCAATTGAAATGAGGGCCTTCTGCCAGGAGACAGGTAGACACTGCGGCTGCAACAAAGTGTAGAAACCTCTCCAGGACCAAGAATGTGGTGCAGCATTTCATTCTGCTGCATATAAGGCCACTCCAAGCAGAGGAGACTTAAAGTCATCCAAGAAAGAAAAGGGAAAACTTATGAATCCAAACTCAGGGAGAATCTCAATGTAGTTTTCATGTTCCCCATTCACACACAGACACACAGAGACTTACAGGTCAAATGTCACATTTTGTCTTGGACTGGTCACAAAATATTTCCACTGTGCTTCTGAGTTGTGTGTCAGCGTGTAGAGAGGGAAAAAGCCCCCGAGCACCAGATCTCCATCCCTGTAGACACTGGGCTGTATGTAGTCGAGGCAGTCAAAAATGTTCATGGTGGATTCCTGAGGAGGAAGCTGCCAATACAGAAGCAGAAAGAGCAGAGAGAGCATCCCAGCCACAACTCACCAGCCTGAGGCAGAGCCCTGAGTCCCTGGTGAACGGGGAGAAGAACTGGAGACTGGACAAGGCAGCCTTCTGCAGGGAAAAGCTGTAGCAGTGCAGGACTCTGATGAGATTGCTCTCCCCCTCAGCCAAGGACACAAGACTGGCAGTTGCTCAGCAGGAGGGCAGTGCTGGATGCAAACAGCTCCAGATATATGTTCATCTGCCCTCAGTGCCACTGTGACCCCAAGTGCTATGTCCTGCTCTGTCTCTCACCCCCTCTGTCTGGTCCCAAATGGTCACTTCTGAGGGAAAGAACACCTGGGCCGCATCTTGCCCTGAGGCTCCACATCTGAGACCTGGCCACTGTGTGAAAACACGGTGGAAAAACAAGCTCGCAACAGTTCAGGGTAATTACACAAGCATGTTGCCTTGAGCGCGGTGCTCTTTGAAGACTCTCTGTAGAATCAAACTCAGAAGAGCAGCTCTGGGGATTTTTTAACAGGAAACTTGAAGGACAGTGAGTTCATGTGAATGGGGGAGGATCATATGGGGAAATGGTTTAGGACGGTCTCTTAGCTCAAGGTGTTTCCTCAATCAGGGTCACTGACTTGTATGCAGAGGAGCTGCTGAACTCACGTGTGTTCGGTTCTGTGTGTTCTCAGGAACCACAAATAAAACTATGTTACAAAAGAAAGACATATGTGAGAATCTTATTCCACTCATGGCTCCAGGAATCGAATCAGGCATGATGGAGAGCAAGGTTCTCAGAAGCACCTCATGCAGGTTGTGGGTCCATCCACACTGATTTCAATGGTGTTTCTTGCAAGGAGGTGAGAGTAGCGGTATCAGGAGAGTCCCTGTGGCACTCAGTCACATGGCCCCTTCAGGATTCCTCCTATTGCTCAAGGACCAGGGTCCTGCAGAAGCCAAGGAAGTAGCTGACAATGCCTTGACTGGCGCACAAGAGCACTATTGATCCCTTTTCGCAACCCTGTCCTCAGGTCTATTGATCATTGCCATTGGTAAGGAGATCAAGATGCACTCAAGGGTTCTATACTCAGGCTCAACTGTTTCCAGCGTCCATAGTCATTGCCTTCACCAGAGAGCAAAGTTAGTTCCTCGATATTACCCATCAAGTTTCTAGGGCAGTGCAATTATCCAATGCCCTCAGCAGCTAAGGGAAATGCTGACTGTCAGGTCAACCCAGACATCTTGTAAATTAAAGAACTGGGAAACTACATCCAGAAATTCCAGTGCAGAGCAAAATTTTACTCTGCTACACATGGGGTCTACATGTGGCAGAGGAAACTGGACTCTGTGGAAAGCTGGGGGGTTTTGTTTTGGTTTTTGATTTGGCAATCTGCTCCTTAAAAGGATAGTTCCTTTAAATTGTCCCTGATAGGTCTGATGTCTAAGTCTTTGACTGGGAACTGCAAGGTGTTAGTTTTAATACCACCAGTAGCTCCAGTGGAGAAAACCAAGGCTGTTTGTACCAGCAAATATTTATCATCTTGTAAATTCTATAGAGATGGTTATGTGTTAGGGCCAACTGGACAGTGGTGGGTTTGGTGCCTTTAGAAATAAAAACAAAACAGAGCAGAATAAAATACAGAGCAGCTGCTAGTGGATTTGAATCTCATGGATGGTGACTCTACATATTGAAGTGTAGAAATTGGCTTTGTTGAGTCTCATGGTGAGTACCTTCAAAAAGCAGATCACTGAGCATCATGGACTGATAAACAAACAAATCCATCTTGGAAGACTATCATCAGGATGCTCCTTAGAGTCATGGGTGGTGAGACTTTCTCTGATGTACTTTGGAGATGCTGTCAGGAGTAACCGGTCCTTGGAGAAAGACATCATGCTCAGTCAACTAGAGGGGCAGTGAAAAAGAGGAAGGCCTTTGACAAGAGGAATGGACAGTGTACTTGCAACAAATACTTCACACATAAGAACGATTGTGAGCACGGTCTAGTTTTCAATTTTTTCATTCCATGTTACATAGAGTCACTATGAGTCAGAGCAGACAAGAAGGCATCTAACAATAAAATCAGGAATTCTATGGGAGAAAGAAGAACCTGTCTACTGCAGCAGAGAGTAAAGTCTTAGAAATCCATTACAGTGTTGCTATAGACTCCATAGGAGTTTTAAAAAAAAACATATTGTTCCGTTTCTATTCTACATTTTGGCGATTATTCTGAAGTTCATATTATACCATAATTTAAAAAAATGAGTCCTATGACATCCATGGAGCAGTCTGATTTTCTCATCTAAGAAAAAATCACGCTGATGAAATTCAGCACTTCATCTTTAAAAAACCCCACCTTCTTCATGGTTCATGCCTGTCTCCATACATTTGTATATATCTTCTCTATGTAGTTCAGGTGCAATGGTTCTTACTGGTCCTCAATTTGGGCTTCATATTGCAAAGATTTGGACAACTCCAAAATTACTCATGATTGAATTGCACTCTAGAGTTTCTTACTTATTTAGACTGAGGTTTGGTGAACCTGTGGATTTTTCAAGACACGCTAGCAGATGCCAGTAGGCAGGCAATGTTGAAGATTATGGATACGTCAAACTATGAATTAGTTTAGGTCTTGTTCCCTCATGAGTTTATGCCGAATAGTTTAAGTTATCAGATTTCTCATTGGGTTATGATATTACAGAAATAGCCTGAGACACAGACAGTGTTGTTTTTCTAAATATGCCTGGTAGTATTTCTTCATATATGTTCTTCCTCCACCACAGATACATTGTTATAATGCTGGATATTACCCTCTATTCTCCCTGCTCCAAACCCACCTTTTTATAGAAAACATTGTGATGCAAGGTTAGAAACCCTCGTATTATACTCTTGTTTTCCATTTTAAGTTTTTACGCTAGTCTCCTAATTGTTGAGTATAAAATAAACACTCCCAATCAGCCCAAACTTTTAACTTTGAGTAGTCTTTACTTCATAAAAATAGTATCTTTGTGGTACTCTTTTTGGTATGTTTTACAGTCTTTTAAGAACTATTATACTAATTGCCATATAAAACGATGATTAAAGTAAAAAATGTAGTTTGAAGATTGTTGATGAATAGTAATTGACTGCTTGATTAATACTAATTGATATTTCTTAACAAAAGAAAGAAATGCAAGTTGCCATGTGTGTGCATTTGAAAGACATTATGAGATCAAAATATTGGCAGTCTTGGGTCAAGAGTGAACAAGGGAAAATAAAGCTGGTGGTATCATAATTCCAGACATTGTATGACTCTAATTGTACCTCAGTACGTCATGTCACCAAAGGTTTATGAAGAAATTTAAATTTTTATTTTCTTGTTGGGACTCTAGGATAATGAAGAGCCCATTTTCTTAACAAAGAGAAGCTCTTTCTTTCTCTAGCATAGCCTCATTAGAATTCCACTCTGTAACCTGGTTTTCCTGACTTCTGTCACAATGAATCTCTCTTGGGAGTCCGTCTGCCTTTCAGCACATGGGTGTCCAACTTTCTTAAATAGATGCTACACACGGTTCCTGATTTAAGAATGAAGTATATGAAAATCTGTTTAATAAATAGTTTAAATTACTCTGCATCATCATTATGGTGAAACCTCACCGATATTCCCTGATGAGGAACTTTGATATTCCAAGTGTCCTTCAAGCTAGATGAGTAACAGGACACCTACAATTACATCTTTATACAGTGAAAAACCGGGTGGTGCACAGGCAAGGACTACATATGAATGGATATAATAAAAATGTAGCTTAGTTAGAGCATAGTGTTTGTACATCTCACTTTCTTTAATTTTGAATAATGATACACTATCCCTTAAGGAAAAACAAAGATATCTTCACATTAAAGCATCCATTAACAAATGGATCAATAGACTTTTGATGCCAATCTCAGCTCAAACTTTGAATTATGATATGTGTTTGAACTTTGTATGTTTTGTACACTTAAATAAACAGATACATTTTCTGTTATTATGAATATCTAAGGATAGCCTTTTTCAAGCTAACAGTATGTGTACATTAAGAATCATAAAATAAACAAGGAACAGGTTTTGATAAGCTATGCTAAACACACCACTACTAACATCAGTTATAGATGAATCAAACATATATGTTTAGAGTAGAACTGTGCACACAGTGTCTAAATTGGCTAATGTTTCAGAAGTAGCATATGATGACGTTTTTCAAGTTAACACTAGGTGGACTTGAACTTCCAGCCTTTCAATAACAAGCCAAATGAATGAACTGGTTGTGTCACTCAGGCATGCTATAAATGCTGTTACATTTTATTTCCAGGCTACTTGAATAGGAATTGGAAGGAGCACAGTGTACCATCGATCATTACCCTCTTTGGTTTTCACATGCTTGGATGTGTCCTGACCCTATTTTCAGAAGGTTTATGTTTTTAAGTGCATTTTAGTTGGTTCCAGTGCATAGACACCCTATGTAAAACAGGAGAAAACACTACATCATCCTTTACACTCCACCATTACAGTCCCTGTTACATTTAAGCTCAATGGTTGCAGCAACAATTGGCTCAAATACAAGGAGATTGTGAGAAAGCAACAGAAGCAGCTCTGCTTTGTTCTCTTCTACATATGAATGTTATGAGTTGGAACAAACTCTAGAGCATCCAACAAGGTCAACAAGAGTTAATTCATATACCCTCTGATATGTCTCAGTGACAGATTATGCTATGAAATACGTTTGACCAAATAAACAGTTCTTTTGTGCATTCACATACATTTTATATTTGGGTGCTCTCCAGTAGGTTCGGACCCATATCGATCCCATGCATCACTGTGAAAAACATTCCTTAGTCCGGAGCTTTTCTCACAATTGTTCTCATGTCTGAGCCCATTGTTAGAGCCATTGTGTCAATCTATCTCGCTAAGAGCATTCCTCTTTTTCACTGCCCCTCTACTTTACCAAGCATGATGTCCTTCTT